CACTGTTTAATGACTGAGGGTTTGTGGGCTGAGCTCTGATGGTTGACTACAATGTTATCTCCCTGCAAATGCAAGGGAAAAAATCCTTACCCCAAAGTTTGGTGAAAGGAAGTTTTATTTGGCATGCATTATCCCACACTTGCAAAGCTGAGGGCTGTGTATGCAGTCAGTGCAGATCACTGAAGTACTGTCACAGAATCACAGAATGGCCAGGGTTGGAAGGGACCTCAAGGATCATGAATCTCCAACCCCCCTGTCACATGCAGGGCCACCAACCACCACATTAAATGCTAAACCAGGCTGCCCAGGGCCCCATCCAACCTGGACTTGAACACCTCCAAGGACGGGGCATCCACAACTTCTCTGGGCAGCCTGTTCCAGTACCTCACCACTCTCTGGGTAAAGAACTTCCCCCTGATGTCCAACCTAAATGTATCTGTCAACAGATACGTTAGGATTTAAGAAGCTGAACACTGTGGTAGAAACATCTATAGGTGAACTTCATTAGATCCCCATCTGCCCTTTTGGGCACTTGGATTTTGTTAATGTGGTGGCAAAATTGTTTAAGATTTGAGATGTCTGGCTAAGAAATCAATCCCAACTAAAAGAGCAAACATTTGTACCAGAAGGTAGCAGTTTCTGGTTGTTTCCAGCTCTTACCTCTGAGCTCAGATAATACTGCGTGTGCCACTCCTACAGGCTCCTCCAACATCCATCTCCTCAAATCATCCCACACTTACTGTTTGGTTCCTTTCCTTCTTAGAATTGTGGCAGTTAGCAAGCTACCTGAGTCCATCTCTCCCAGGGATGGATATCTGGCCTTGGTAACCTTGAAATGGTTGTTTTCCTTCACTTCTTCCTTTTTTACTTCTGAAGCAATTGGGTCTCTGTGATTACTAGGCGGAGAACCAAGGGGAGATGCTGTCTGTATGCTCTCTTATTATGATCATAGTTAATAAAGCTTATCTCTGACCTGTCTTAAATTATTCTTGTCACACACTTGGTGTCCCGATGTTGGCTGACATTATCTTTAATATTACCATGAAAGGTGGAGCAGTTGTGAGAGATGTTACTCAAGCTAATATATGGTTGCAAAAAAGGCAGCAGGTTTAGACAGTTTGTGGAGAAGATCATTAGGTTCATGATTTCTTGAGCTCTTAGGAACAGGAGTGTGCTGAAAGAAAGGGCATGAATGAGATCTTCAGGTGCACTGAGGTGAATGTTCTTCTGTATTTGTCACTGCACAAAGAGAGGGATTATGAAGAGGAGAATGGAGAAGGCATTCAGCTATACAGGGAGGTTATTTTTACAGAGGTGTACTCAGTAGCTCTGGTATTTATTTCATTGGCTTCTGTATATTCAATGAATATGAAGATGTTATAATTACAAAATAAACAAGAGAGTTTGGCAAAGCAGATTATAATAACAAAAAGAGAATAGATAGAAAGCTTACCTGCATCCTGGGCTTGCTGCAAAACTCCAGAGGAGGGATCTCCAGAAGAGATCCTGTCCCACTGGTAGTCAGCTCTTAAATGGGTCTAGAAGAGGTGGCTGACCCATTGCTTACCTCAGGTGATCAATCAGAGGTTTAGGCTGTGATTCAGCAGTTCCCATATAGCTTCTAAGAGGAAAAGCATCCTCGCTATAAGAACAGCAACCGCTTCAGTTTGGTTATTTGATGCCAGGCTGGTGCTGGAGGGCTCATTGGAGATAGCCAGATGGAGCATGTGAGTGATGTGCATCAGTGCATTGGGTTTGGCAGAGGAGCAGCTCATCTGGCTAGCAGTTATGCTTGGATTGGTGAACAACCAGTCCTGAGGTAGATGACCAATTTTATCTGGCTGGTGGATTAAAGTTGCTATTAGAGCTCCTTCCCCAAGTCCCCCAATTCTAGGGACTGAGATCCATTACAGGATGTCTTTCCTCTCAGGTTTGTTCCCCTAGACTCAGTGTCCAGGATAGGGGTTAACAGCAGATCTGCAGAGTGGTCAGCAGATAGGTGCGTTTCATAGAGAGGTATATTTTTCTTTCCTCGGCTCTTGGGAGAAGTTTAGGGAGGATTTCTGGGGTAAAAAGATCCCTTTTCTTGTTTTCAGGTCCCCATTGGCAAATAGGCACTACACCAACCACTGGGCATGTGCCCTTCAGCAATGCAGAGGAGGCAGAGTCTCTATAATTAATAGTGATAACTTTCTCAGAGGACAGGTTAAAAACTTGAGTGTTGGAAACTTAGATTCCCTTCTGGTGCTGAAGGGAGGGGAATAAGGGAGGCATTATTTGAAAGCATTTCTTTTATTTAACAGATGTTAAATAGCACTATGCCACTATATCAATCTGTCAATTAACCCTAATAGGAAACAGCATAGAGAGAAGTAAGAAATGTGTATTCAGGGCAATTGTGGCCTCCCTTCCATGGGGGCACAGCCCCGCAGGCAGGGCTATGTGGAAGGAACAGTCCCACATGTGCCCAGCACATGTAGATGAGAAGAGGAATGTCTGTGGACCAACACAGAACAAACTGGCTGCCACTGGACAGGCTTTCTGACCCATCATGTTCTGATGGTTGAGCTAGAAACTGGATTAAAAAAATCTTTAAAGGAGAGACCATGCATAACTTCCCCCCACAGCAGTGTTTATCACTGTTTTCACAGTCCAGGTGGATTAAAAACTGGAGGAGACAAACAAACCTCTAATAGAATATTAAAAGCTGAAAAGCAACCTTTTCTTGACAGTAGTGTACATCAGCCCCTGAACAGCCCCAGTCTCTCTTAAAAGAGACCCACGGTGTTTTCGTCTTCAACACCATATTTATTTCTTAAACTTGTCCTGGCTATGGATGTAGTCAACAGAATTTGGTACGATTGTACTGATAGAGCTGCACGGAGCCCAAGGTTAAGTGACAGGAATTTCAAAACAAAACGATAAATTAATAAAATGATTGTGTCACCAGCTGATCCTCTTCTGACCACCATCTGTCCCCTGATCATGTGATGTCTCCCAGCTGGCCACCCAAGAGACAAACCATGCAAGATCAACAACATATGCTGCTATTTACACATTTCAAAGGTAATAGTTGCTAGGCTGTCCTATCACTAGTTAAAAGGAGTTATTTGGAAGCTAGGTGGTTTTTTCCCCTTTTCTTTGAGGAAGGCAATGACTCAGCAGGTATATTTCTAACAGAGATCGGTGAGGGCTGGATCAGTAGAAGTCTTCCTGTGTGCAGTATGTGTGATCTCCCACCTTATTCCTTGGTTTTGTGATAAACAGCAGAAAATGTGAAATGCAAAGAAGGAAAAAAAAACATCACAGATTTTAATAGTGTACCTTTAGGAACATGATGTGCTCTCCTTGCCATGCCCAGGATGCAAACCAAGCTGTGCATTTTTAAACTATTGTTAAGATCAAGGATGTGGTTATGAGAAGACTTACAATTTATAGGATACTTAAGCATTAAGGATTGAGGCACAGAACATTTCCTGGGGATTAACGACTGACTGGGTGAGCCTCAGGCCATTAACCCCTGCCTGCCATTAATCTTCAGGAAGTGCCCTGCAGTGAGGTCCCTATTGCTGTTATATGCTGAAAGAGAGAATAATAAGAAGAAAGGTCCGTGCTTTATTTATTTATATTTTACGTAACGCAGCGGTATTTGCACTGCAGGGAATTAACATCTTTCTCTCTAGCTGCTCGTGCTGCTCCAATTAATGCTTTCATGCATCTCACTGCTTTGGGAAAGGCACTGCCTACACAGATGTACGTGGGGCAGGATGTGGCCCTCTGCTCGTGGTACACTCTGTTTAATATGATGAATAGGTGCTGCTTTTCCAGTATAACTGCTGGCAGAATTCAGCCCTGTATAAAACCCAGCTCAGAATGCTTGTTTTACAGCAAAGCAATTTATTCACAGTTCTAAGCATCTTGCAGCTTTCTTTTTTCTTTCTTTTTTTTTTTTTTTTAACTCGTTGAATAATCCTTTTAGGTTCCCCGTAAAGCAGGTGAAATGCTTCTGCTGCAGTCCTAAGGCAGAACACAGGCTGCATAAATAGCATCTAAATTGCCAGGAATACAAAATACACAGAGTAATACATACCTACAAAGGCAAATTCATCCTGACAGGACTGCAGTACACGCTTATCAGCAGCACAACATCTCAGGGAGAAAAAGAAAAAAAGAAAAAAAAAAAAAGTGGCTTTGTATTAAAATTGCATATGCATTTCTCTCTATATTTAAACACTTAAACGGTATTTTGTGCATGTGCTTAAAAAACAGACGCAGGCACCCTTTTAATGAGGCTGCCCGCTCCAACATTGATTAGCTGGGAGATGTATAGTTGCCATGAAGCTGGCTGATGCTTTTTTTTTTCTTTTTGCAGAGTATCTTTGCAAAAAAGAAAAAAGCTTTTTTTTTTTTTTTTTTTTTTTTTTTTTTGGTGTGTGTGTGTGTGTGTGTGTGTACATGGCCTCAGTCCTTGCAGCCTCCCAGAGAGGCTGTCAAGGCGCAACTTAAAAGCTCGTTCAGGCGACCATGACCCCCCGCCAGCAGATTGTCTGCCTAAAAGGTAAGGGAAAGCTGAGAAAGAAGTAGAAACTTAAAAGTAGCTTCTCAAAGGCTGCATAGATCTCTCTCTCTCTCTCTCTTTTTTTTTTTTTTTTGTTAAACCTAAAGTGTTTAAAAGCTTTAATATTGATGGCCTGTCAACTTTGTCCTGATTCTTTGGCTTTCAGTTAAAAGGTTTTTGTTGTTGTAGCTTATGCAGTTGCTCTGTTGCTATGGAAACGTGACATCAAAATGACGTTTCTCTGTTTAAAAGCTTTTAACTAAATTCCTGCCTGTCAGATGTAGGCCCCATTTTGTGCACTCAAGCTTCAAGCTGTTGCAAAAAGGTTTCATATGTTCTGTTGTCATTCAAATTCTTTATCCACATATGCATGTCTTGCACTACAAAAACCTAAGCTAAAAACTCAATCTATATTAAGTGTCCTCTTTTAAAACCCTTTTAGGTCAGTCAGCAATGGCTGCAGCAGAAATTCCCAGTTACATTGTCTCTTCTCAGACTGAGAAACACAGGAGGGCCAGAAACTGGACTGATGCAGAAATGAGAGGTTTAATGCTGGTCTGGGAAGAATTTTTTGATGAACTGAAACAAACTAAAAGGAATGCCAAAGTTTATGAGAAAATGGCTAACAAACTCTTTGAAATGACGGGAGAAATTCGCCACGGAGAGGAAATAAAGATAAAAATTACAAATATGACATTCCAGTACAGGTAAGCTTCAGTTAATTCTTTTTATTTTAAGAGATGTTAGCAGGGGCAAGGCTGCGCTGTTTGCCTTTCAGAAAGAAGTATCCTTCAGCAAATGTGTAGATAAGAGATTAAAGATTGTTCGTATCGCTTTTAAAATTCTCTCTCGCCATCGCTGTTACGTCATGCTTCATTTTTCCCCCATTTCATTGCAAACTCCGGGACAACTTTGTCGCGTCGTAATTAACTCGCGGTGTTATGATGTAGAGGGATGGAAATGCAGTTAATGGGAAAGCAGATTTTTTTTTCTCTTTGGTGATTGTGTCAGCCTGGCAGCAGCTGCTTGCAAGGAAACTCCTGCAGTTAGAAGTGGCCAGAGAGGGTCGGTGTGACAAGGCAAAGTTTTGCTTGCTTTATAATAAATACTGAACAATGCTTTTGGGGAACGAAGCTCCTGGGTTTTATTCGTGTGAGTTGAAGGGTTACACTTCAAGGGGCCGGGAATAATGGAATGCCTTATTGCTGAGTGACACACATTGCTGTAATTATAGGCAGCGCTGCTATATCTGCAGGGAGGGGATCGATGTGCACCGTCAATACCGCTCCCGAGGAGCTGGGGGAGGGTGGAGGTGGCTGCGAGGAGATGAGATGGAGCAGGAGGGGAAGTTGGCTTGGAAAACGAGAGACGTTTGTTGCTTTGAGGGGAAAAGGAATTGGAACTTAGCAGAAACAAATGCTTCTCTTTCTCTTTTTTTTTTTTTTTTCTTTTCTTTTCTTTTCTCTTTTTCTAAAATTTTTATCTCTGCGAGGCACAAACTGCCTCATACTGGAAATCCTGAGTGGTGATTTCAGCCATGTGCTTGTAATGCAAGAAAATCAAATATGTGACTCTTTTATTTAATCTCTCCTCAAAGCTCATATTAATAATAAAAAAGGTTATTACAGCAGGCAACCATGTTAAAACTGCTTGCTTCTCTGTAAGGCATCCTCCTGTACTTAATGCAGACACTGCTCATCACATAGAAAACTAGGGAGAATCCTGTAAACCCCTTAACTTTGAGTGTCCTCCTGCATTTGTAAGACCCACGAGCACAATGTTTAACATCATTTTTCATAATATTAAATCCACGTTTCCCAGCAGATGCTAATGCCTCTAAAATGTTTGACTAACCCTGTGGTAATCCTTGTAATTTTCTTCTCCCAGACTGAGTGAGAAGGCTGGAAGCACGATCCATTTCTGCCCTGCATTGCCCAGCAGTTGCCACTCAGCTGCAGAGCTGGGAGCTGCTGGCTCCCAGGCCCCTGCTTAGCCTGCTAGATCTGCAGCCTTCCTGCTGAGCAGCACAGCTCGCAGCACCAGGATTTTACAGGTGTCTAGCTAGCAACACCGCGCAATATTGAAGTGCCGTAATTGCCAAGCACAATAGGCTATCTCTGTCAGCCTTTGTTCTAAATTTTCAGTGTTATCATCAGTCAGACCGTCTCAGCTTTTCTAATTAATGTTTTTCCTTTAAAGTTTCAGCGGGGGAAGGGAAGAAATGAACCCCTCACACCCATGCAGTCTGCGTGTGTGTGCGCGCGTGTGTGGAAATGCAGTGCTTAAAAAAAATCTTATGTCTCTGTGAACTTCTGAGATTGCTTCTGCTGCGTGTTGTCGTGCTGCTGCTCTGTTTTGCAGTGCATTGCGGCTCCCCGCTCATTGATTAAGATGCTAATTTATGAGATTTATAAAAGTGCCTTGCGCCATCACGGGGCTCTTGGACTTGAAATGCATCTCCTATACTGTTTGTTTCTATCCAACGCAGGTTTGTTTGCTTTGCTTTCAAGGGGAGGTGATAGAAAACCCAGGGACAAATATAAGATATGACTTAAAATTCATCGTTTTCTGGAGGCTTTTTGTTGGCATGTGAGAAAAGAAAACATTGTGGTGAAACCAAATGATGTTAGTTACCACTGACTGCTGGCTTTGCTTTGAGGCACCTGAGTTTTAATCTATATTTTGGTGTCTGGAGGATACTTAAAGAAATGTACTTAAAGTGCTTTATCTTTGTGTATTTCCACACATCACAGCTGCACTCTGCAATGAAGAAAAAATATCCTGAAAGTGGGTAAAGTCATCTGAGAGAGTCTATAATTATGACGTAGAGTTAGCAAGCCAAATGTGGGAATGTAGCATCAATAGCAAAGCCTCAGCTTTGTCCTGCACCAAGTGGTGATTTCTTCCCACTGCATCAAGCAACTGTAGTGTCATAAAGTTGCTATGGTCTCTACTTTGATAGTCAGAAATGAACAAGAGTAGAATAATTAATCAGAAAATAGTGTTACATAGTGTTGTGACATAATTTCATAAAGGCAAACATTTTTTTTTGCCCTGCAAACTATTTATGAGTGCACACATATATGTAAGAGTATACACATCTATGTGTATTTTTCCTTTAGCAGGAATAGGAGTACTTGAATATTTTTCCTAGCTGTTAGCAAAGTTCAGTGGTAAGTGTTCTTGCTGCCAAGTCACATCCTGGGACCTCTCTGAAACAATTATTAATTCTCTGAAATATTAAAGGATCTAAAATAGTAAACACATTTATAATGGTGAAGACATAATGTTGTTTTCCACTCTGAGGATCCCCTAGACTTCTGATCCAGTTCTATATTGTTTTGCTTGTTTTGCCCAATGAAAGCCATTACTCACAGTGCTGAAAAAGCCAAAGTGAGACAAACATATACGTAAGTAGGGGAGGAGCACTTATCCAGCAGGTATTGCATAAGCTGCAGCTAATGGAAATACATCAGTGCCAATGGTGGCCTGGAGCTTGGGCTGAGCTAACAGCCCAGGTGTTCGCCCAGGTTCCTGGCTGCATCTTTTTATCCCATATGGAATGCTGTGCTGACAAAGTTAGTTCAGGGGTAGCTCAGAGCATGTGAGCTTCTGAGCACTAACACAATTTTAGGGCTATCGTATCTCATTCCTCCAAGTCTGTAGTAAAAACATCATGCAAATGTTACAATGCCATTATATAAATCTATCATACTCATTATTCCCTCCTGGAATTATGCTTATTTCTGAACGCCCTACATTTCAACAAGGTGACAAGTGAATGGGAAGCTGTTTAGAAAACATGATTGGGATAAGATGTGGAAAGCTTTCTTCATTAAGAGAAATGGGAAAGTCTGTGATTTGCTTGGAAAAAAAAACCCCAAAATCAGAAACGAGTTGTAGAGGTGTGTGAAAACATACTGCACAATTTTTGAGAATACAAAGCAGGCACTTCTTTTACCATAATACAAGAAGTTGTTGAAACTGCAAGGTAAGAAATGTAAAACTAGTTGAAAAGCCATGTAAGTTTGTATTACGCTGCATAATGAGCATGTGGAACTCATTACCACTGACAGTCACCAAGACCAACGGAGTGGTAGGTTGTTTTATTATTCTCATGAAAGATCAGATTTATTAAATAAAAATACAGGCATCATTTGTCTTCTAATTAGAGTCATAAAAGATAGTGGATGTCAGGATATTGCTGTCAATGGAAAAGGAAACAAGTACTGTTCCAGTTGAATTCCCCCCCCAAAAAATATCAACATGTTTCTTCAAGTATTTCATACGGACCTTTGTCAGAATGGAGGCAGTATGATGACGATCTGCACTCCCCTGCATTATGGTAGCCCAAGTGCATTTGGAGGAATCTTTCAAGGTTAAACAACCTTATCCAAAAGTTTCCATATATTAAGGAACAATTAAATCCACTGTGGGATATAATGTATAGTTAGCTTGTCTAAGTGGAAAATTTTGCACATCCGGAAGGAAAACTTTTGCAGGTACATTTGGGTAAAATTCTGCTTTTAGGAATCGCACCTGAAGCTGAAATGCTTCCTGTGGGCAGAGCAACCAACAGGTTTTAAACTTGATTTTTAAAATCACCTGGGGAGTAAGATGCATGAACGTCCCACTGTGTCTGTCAGAAGGGACAAGGGGCTGAGCCAGGCCTGCTGGAATTCAAGTTGTCTTTCAGATGTGCTGAGTATCAGAAGTTTTGCTGGGATTAGTATGCCATTACTTGCACTTCAGCATCACTTAGAGTATTTGCTGAATTCTTCCTATTATATAGGCTACTTGGGGCATTCAGCACATATAACCCTGACATTAGTCATTCTGAAAGAAAGAACTTCCTCATCAGTGCTAATATACTGCACTTAATGCACTGTATAGAAACAAAACAGGGTTTGGAAAGCTTGTACAGTCATTCTCAGTTTTGACTGATTCCCTCTGATGTTTAAAAATAAGAGCTGTGTGAATGCAAATTTATTGTTTTCAGTAACATCGCCCTCCCAAAGCCTAGGAAATAGGATGCAGCTGTTGCTGTTTGATTTGAATCACAGTCAATTAATGTTAGCGATTGGTAAATTTGAATCAGTCTCACGATTTGAATATGTGATCAGTTTATTTTTTTGTTTTCATGTGTACATGATAGCAATTAATTATTGTTGCTTGTGTAATTCATTGCTATCCTCTGTGACATTAAGCAAGTAAAATATTTGACCTGTGCTACAGCAAATGATGAAATGTAAGTGAATCAAATTTAATGCAGAAAGTTAAATTTGAATATTTTACCAGCTTTCTCTTTAATTTCGATAATTTATAGCAGATGCACAACTTAAGGACTGTACTTTCATACATCTTTCTTTCCCTCCCCCATTGACTAGCTCATAAACAGTTGCTATTTATTATTTATTTCGAAAGCTTTTCACAGAAACCCCGAGAGATGAATCTTGTATCCATTCCTTAAGGCAAGCAGTAATATCAAATACTGTAATAATAAAAAAGCAATAGTGTGTTGAGCAGAGAGTGAAAAAAGAAAAAAAAAAAAAAAAAAGCAAATTGTCATCTTTACTGATGACATAATGATTTAATGATTTTTAAAAACTCTCTACAATGTAATATTGTAATAATATTGTAATAATTTTACTTTAGAAGGCAGATAATAGGCACAGAGAACAAAGTCTGAAGGAAGGTCAACGGCAGCACAAATTACTCAGCTGGTGTTGCAGTCCATTCTGAGGAATGTTTTGGCAGTAGGACTTCAAAACCCATTAATTTGTTCACTTCCCTCCAATAAGACTCACAGCCATCTTTCAGATTAACTGGGTAACAGTATTTTTCATACTTCAGAAATTTGTCCCCTGGAAACTCAACTTTGATGCCAGTTTTTGGAGAGAGCTCTCCATTGCCTCTGCTCTCAGCTGGATTTTAATAGAGCCTCATGAAACTGTGACAGGTCCAGATAAACTCAGCAGGAATTTATTTTGCAAACTCTGTTCACTTTCTCACTTACTCCTACCTTATTTTTCTGCCTTGCTCACTCACTCAGGCAATGATTTGCCCAATTTATGTTTTCAATGAATGTTGAATGTTTGGCTTGTCTTCCTCTCTTTTCCAAAGTGCTGCATCCCAGTGTAAATCATAGAATGGTTTAGGTTAGAAGGACCTCAAGGATCATCAAGTTCCAACCCCCCTGCTGCATGCAGGGCAGCCAACCTCCACATTTAATACTGGACCAGGCTGCCCAGCACCCCATATAACCCAGCCTTGAATGTCTCTAAGGACGGGGCATCCACAGCCTGTGCCAGCACCTCACCACTCTCATAATAAAGAACTTCCCCCTGATATCCAACCTAAATCTTCCCTCCTTCAACTTAAAACCATTTCCCCTTCTCCTGTTATTATCTACCTTTTCAGAGAGTTGAAAAATGTTGTCCTATTTCTTTCTAACTTCTTCACTTTTCAAGAAGAAAACAAAACCAACAAGAAACATGAAACAAAGCCACACAAAAGGAAAACAAAGAGAAAAGCAGCTTTACATTTTGGATGCAACTACAACCTGTTGTGATTATTTATGATAATGATTGACTGGGAGCAGTAAATGCATCTTTGCCTTAGACTTCAGTTCTGCCAGGGTTACTTATCTTGGTGCAGGAGGAAGCTCTCAGCTGTCTCTCTCAGTTTTCTGGTTTGTTTCAAAATAATCAGTGAATCCTGAAGCTTGATCTTAATGTTGCCAAGTTATCTATTTGATTTGTTCTCCCTGTTTTCCTCCACTGCTCACAGTATTCCTACCTGTTTTCTGGAGTAGATGCTCCCTTGCCCATTATCTTCTCATCTCTTTATCTATTTCATCTTTTTTCCTTTGTATATGAGCCAGACTCCATGCAGGTAGTTGGTTGCTGCTGGTGCTGCTTTTAAGCTAATGAAATTCTCATGTCAACCTTCTGATAATGATAACTTTCTTATTTCTTTTAGCCGAGAGCTATGTTAAATAGACAGAAGTAGAAGAATCTGTACCCATCCAGTGCAATCAGAGCCATAGAAATACCTAGATTTGTATAGCTGCAGTCCTAGAACTGTGTGGGCAGGTAACAAACTACAGCTCTCCTTCAAAATCCTGAGTGTTAGCAAAAATGGGGTCTAGGCACATAGCTGAGCTCAAACACAAGAAACCAAAGTTCTGATATAACTGGGCAAAATACCTGCTCCTGAGAAGTTTTGCTGAAGTAAGGAAATTAACATTTAGTTCAGGATGATATAATAAAAATAAAGGAAGAATAGTGATAAACATAATAGTGCTTGGAAGTTAATGTATTCAGAATAGTCATCAGGACACTGATTCAAGGCAAAATAATGCTGGATGGAGCTGCCTTCTTTGAGCTTAAACCAAATAGAGGCATTCCCTCAGCCTTTTCTGCTGTGAGCTGAATGAGCCAGGGGACCTCAGCTGCTCCTCCTACATCTTGCTCTCTAGACCCATAACCATCTTCATAGCCCTCCTTTGGATGCTCTGTAGTAGTTTTATGTCCTTTTTATATTATGGTGCCCCAAATCCTGTCCCAGGGACAACTGAATCCTCTGCACAGATTGAAGGTGGACTGACTGGGCAGCAGTTCTGCACACGGACATGGGGGAGCTGGCTGACACCAGGCTTAACACGAGTCCTCTGCCTGCCCCGGAACAAAGTTGGCAGAGTACCACATCTGAGATTTCTTGTCTTTTTTGGGAGAATGTTTTGCCATTCTGAAGGCTCAAACCATGTCTGGTGATGTCTTAATCCAACTGTGGGACTGCTCTGACATGACAGGGATGTGCTCATGCATGGCTTTTTGCTGTCTTATCCATGAGGATGACAGACCATGGCGAATGCATTCAACGAGTATCTGAGGACGATACTGTAAAATGCTTAAATGGACTGAAGGTTTTAACATGGACAAGAAAATGGGAAATGTAGACCCAGCTAGAAGCTTATAGTGGCATAATTGATATGTTTGGCATACAAATAGTCTGAACAATTAGACAAAAATAATCAGTATCAAATGATGGTTGCTTTGAGCCCCATATTTTGCTATTCTGTGTCTGTACTTGATGGATATAGATGAGTTTGTAAGTTGTGCTAGATATTCTCTGACTATGAAATCGCAGCAGCAGGTTGCGAAACATGTATGAAATTAAAATTCTGAATGCATAGAGGGCATGAAAAAAAACAGACAGCTGTGGAGGCTTTGCTATGAAAGACTTTCCCAAAAAGCTGGGAAAGCTCATCAGACCTTGCAAGGACAAGAAAAAAAAGAAGAATCCTTAAATGTCTGCAAAATCTAAGCAAATCTTTCTGCCTTCTTTTCTCACTGGTGGATTTCCCCTTAGCCTAAGCTCAGTGGTGTCTAAAAGGAAGAACTTCAAGTTCCCACTTTTAAGTTTGGCAGCATTTTTATTGTGTTTACATGTTGTTACTTAATTCTATCCTTTCTGGGACTGATGTGGGCAGGATGGATTAAGAGGAGGGAAAATGTGGAAGGCTTCAAGAAAAAAGGCTGGGCCAGGTGTCCAGGAATCGTTTTCATCTGTTTTTTTTTTTTTTTTCCCTGCAAATTGAAACCTCTTCATAGCTGGGAGAATTGGATTTGGATTTGTTTCTTTTTTTTTTTTTTTTTTTTTTCTTCTTCTTTTTTTTTTTCTTTTTTTTAATGTAAATGAAACCTGGTTCATGAAAATGGAGCTTTCGTCATCAATCTTGCCTTCCCTGTTTTCTTCCTTTGATGAACTTTTGGTTAGACTAACTTAAAGATCGCATCTGGGAAAGGCAAAAAGCAAACAGGAGGAAATTCTGAGATATTAGCTGGCCAGTGGAGTGTCTTTGACATGTGTCTGTTCACCTCAGGTTTTTTATTTCTCAATAAAATATTAAAAAAAAAAAGTGAATAAAATAACAGTGGATGTTGAATGGGTGAACTTCACATTAGGACTCAATGATAAATCTTATAACAAAACTTATGTGAGGGACAAGGTCATGGCTGACAGTTCTTCAACTGTAATCTTTTTGTTTACTGTTTATAATGCATTATTAACTGCTTTATTATAATTATTTTAAATAAATGAAGCTATATTTCTTCCCATACTGATCTTTACCCTGTAACAGATAAGCAGGCATCCATATCTTATTGTTGTTACTGGAATGTTCTAACGGGTGATGTTGACCTTTTAGTCAAAGTGAGGAGGAGAATATGAATGATATTTGTAGACATTGATACTCATAATGGGAAATACTCATATAGAAGATCTATATGAAGAGTACTTAAAAAAGAAAACAAGCTCTAATGCTGTATGCCTTTTCTTGCAGGAAATTAAAATGCATGACTGACAGTGAAACTGTTGCACCAGACTGGCCTTACTACAAAACCATTGATAGGATCTTATCCAAAGTGACAGACCACAGTGATGTGAAAATGCATGAAAATCAGCAACCAGGTCCTTCTACATCACAGACAGAGGCCTCGCAGTCACCATCAGCTAAGTCTACACCTCTGTATTTGCCATATAATCAGTTTACATACGAAGGAAGGGAAGAGTGCTTTGAAGATGAACATTCAGAGAGCTCATCAAGCTTACTTTCTTACAAGCTGAGGTAGCATCTAATGTTTTTTTTCCCCGCCTTCTAGTATTTCACAGAATGAATGGGATCTGTTATCTCAAAAGGGAAATCCTGGAGCATTTTTCTCTAATGGCTCTTGCAGCTTTCCTGTAAATCACAAATTGGATTACGTTTCCCATTCTGCTGAATTTGGGCAATTTCTTTCTTCTTTCACGAGAGATTGGAAGGGAAGGAGGACTGGGCAAAAAGGCATTTAGTATTGCCAAAATTCAGCATGTATGTCTGTGCTCATAGGAGGTAGTGTGTTTGTGATAGGAGTACAGGCATGTTCATGATAGTGCTGCAGCGTTGTATCTCTTACCACATTTTGCTTAGATGATTTTTGGCTTGCTCTAGGTTTTTTGTTGTTTTGTTTTTTTGGTAGGAGTAATGGTATGAGATTTCCCTGGCTTCAGCTATTATTAAAATGGTGAAAAGTTGCAAAGTAAATATTGCCATGGACACTGAAATGCTGTTCATGCAGTTTGAAAGAACATTGCGTACATTATATAAAATGAAGAATGGCATTTTTTCAAAGTAAATGCTTGGTTGAGAATGCAAATGTGTTTCCTTTTCTGATAAGATTGGAGTTGTCTGGAAGGCAGCATTTTAGCAGAAGGCAGGCTATGTACTTCAGACTTCACTGGTCTCATTTTTCATCCAGAGTGGTGTGAAATAAGAGTTGGTTACAGTTTTCTGGCAGGAAAAAGTTGGTCCTGCAGATCTTATCATGAGTTTGTGAGGGTTTAACTGTAACAATAAAATTATCTGTCAGTCACGCAACTGAGAGGGTGTAACGCTGGAAGAAGAATCAACCTAACAAGTTTGGATTATTGTTTCCAGGCCTACTCTCGGATGGGCAAAACTAGGATAAACTCTAGGATATATTCATGGATGCATTTGACTGTACTTGAATGAGCCTGTGTTTATCAGAAGACATAGTTGTTCTGATTCTCAGTCCTCAAACGATGAAGATCTTCCATTTCTAATACTAATATTTGTTTTCAGGTCACTGATAGTTCTTTTTCATTAAAAATGGGTTATTATTCAGATTGGTACATAGCAGTCATGGTTTCTTACCTGTGCATAGGAGGATGTATGACCAAGCAGTAGTGAAGTAGCTTCCTTCAAGATCTATTCTATTCTTCTTCCTCTAAGATTTTAATAACATTTAACACAATCCACTTATTTCTTTTCATAGGCTTCACCCTCTGTGTTTTACTACACCCGGAAATGTCAAGGGAATTGTGTCTTTTTGTTATATTTGCAGCAAGTCTTCCAGGTTCTTAGGTCTGTTTATTTTTATTGCACAGAGAACTGAATGTCAAGTAGGATAAGAACATATATGGAAATGTAATACAGAGTTGTCACAGCTGAGTGACCTCCCTCCCGACTCTCCTTCTTCACATCAGTAAAAACATTCCTCTAGTGCTAGGTTGATGTCCTCATTCAAGGTTGTCTTGAAATCTACAAGTTGTTGACATGGCATTCTGCTCAAAACTGTGCTTTTACTAGATTTCCCCTGGAAAGAATGCAGTGTTTGGCAGAATACAGCTGAGCTTGCTGTTTGCGTAAAGGGAATTTGAGACCCATCATTGGATAACTTTGATGCTGGGGACTCTAGATACATAGACTGTCATGCTAAGATTGAAAGGAAGTTGCCCATCTGTAACTGGAAGTTTTTCAGATGAGTAGTTCACTCACAGCTTGAACTACAATGACCATGTGAGCAAAAAGACTCCCCCAGCACAGTTTAGAAACTCAGCACGTAAAAAGCAAGATAAAAAGACAATGTTATACCTAGGATTCTGTGGGAAAAAAATCTTGTTAAAAATGATGAGATTTTAAAACCTATTTTTACAGTCAGTAATGTTATAAAACAGTGGAATAAATACTTCTGTTTTGGCACAATTCTGAGAGTGAATTTATTGGAGAACATTTTTTATTAATCGAACTTAGTTATAGCTTGTCCTAGGTCCTAACGTAGCTTTTTGGTTTTTTTTCCTTTTCCATAAATGTGATTTTAATTGTAAACAAATCTTTCTGTTTCAGAACTGAAGAAAGGCCAGTTAAGAAAAGGAAAATGCAAAGCTGCAGCTTTCAAAAGAAGAAGCTAAAATTAATGGAGGCTATGTTGGAAGAACAAAAGAAGTTGAGCAGAGCTATGGAAGAAACCTGTAGAGAAGTACGCAGGATTCTGGATCAGCAAAACATCATTCAAGTTCAAAGCTTACAGCTACAGGAGAGAATGATGAATCTACTGGAGAAAATGATTTCCAAATCCAATGTGTAGTTTCCTTTGTGAATGCCTCTGAGATTATCATTGATATTATAGACATCCCCTTACTGCACACCTTATGTGTGTTTATTGCCCTATTCCTAGGTTTTCCATGGAAATTAAAATCTTAGTGTATTCTTAGATAAGCAAAAAAGAACAGATAATGCAGGGTGAGAGCTATCTGGCATGAGAAAAATAGTGCAATATATGCCTAAACTGAATTATTTTTATACAGAAAGATTAAGGGATGAATAGCTCTAGGAATTTCAATACTATTACGCCTAGGTCAGATATTGTTTTACAAAGATGTTATGTATTTCTTCACATCAAGGACCATACCCTGACCTGTTGTTGAAGAACAAAGTAATGTGTTCTTAAACATGCTAATTGCATCTTGACTTTGCTGATGATTAAGCCCTGGTTTGAAACATACACAGTGATTGTGCAAGTGACCTATGCGTGGTTCTTGTGAAGAGCTACTAGGGACCTCAAGATGTCCTTTTAAACTCCATGCCTGATATGAATAGTACTCTAATGTATGAGAGTAAAAATAGTCTATTCAAATACAGTTTTCATAAAATACAAACAAATCCTTACTATATACTGGATACTAAAATGTATAGACGATATTTGAAGGTGCTTTTGATATTAAATGTTTAATTTTTTTCATTATTAACTGGAATCTGTTGACTTAATGAGCGACCAGCAATGAAAACTATCATTTCTTCTCTATCACAAAAGAAAAATATTGTACTGTGTGTATATACAAATATATATCTATCAAATGAAATAAAGGAAAAGAAGAAACGTACTTCTTGCTGGATAGATAGTACGCTTTGCGTTGGTGAAAAGGCTATTACAGTCAAAAGTTTTTAATTCTTAACTACTGGGTAAAGATCTCCTCTGCTGGTGCATATATTCATGGAACTCCTAAAGAATATTCAGTACCTCTTCCTCAGCGTTTGCTGGTGACACAACTATAATATATATGCAAGCAGACGTAAGGCAGATCATCATCGACACACCACAAGAGGGAGCCGAAGGCATAAGGGATTGCGTTTCCTTTCTACATTTCTTTCCGTTTTCTCCTTGAAAAGCATACTTCTGCATTTGCAAGAATGAGTATCCAAGGCCAGATTCAGATATAGAGGTACAGGATTAATGTCAGTACTGGAAACCAAGGCCACCTTCCATTCCCAGTAATAAATAATGTCTTCCATTGAAATTTTGTTTTTGAAGTTGTTTGCTTTTTGCTATATAATTTAACATATTTTTAGCTACACTAATATTATCTAAACTATTTCTGGACCCAGAACCAACCAGTTAATCTGTAACTAAGCCTGGTGAACAGGATAAAGGTTATACTCAACAAATTAATAATATATGGAAGTAGTTCTTAAAGGATCTAGTAGGTGTGACAGTTAAGGATGATGCAGCTCTAAAATATGATTACTGTATGTAAATGTGGCCTATTCCTATGGAGCTTGATTTGTAACAGGATAATGCAAATGCCACAGTAATTGACCACACCTGCAGCAAACATTGGCTCTCCAAGGATAAATGAAGCAGCTTTCCTTCACACCTCTGCTACAGTGATTGGATGAGTGGAAAAAGGGCAAATGTCTGGCTGGATTCTTCAGGATGGATTTCTCACAGGGTGAAATTATACAGCATTATATAGCAAAAGTATGCTATATGCAGCAAATGTTTTGGAGTCCCTGAACTGGTTTGCTCTGAAAGAGAATCATGAAACCTTATAATACGTCTGCCTGCGCAGCCACTTTGAAATCAGGGCTATTCCTATTGCTGTATAGGTGCTTAGAACATTTGCAAGAGTATTGCCCTACATGCATATGTGTGAGGGAAAATGTACTTTGTGCTTTGTCATGCTTTTGCACATTCCAAACATAGATGCATTACAGATTCACATAGGCTGATGTATCTGTGCTGTAGCGCTTTCCTACACTTGTTTACAATAAGACTGAAAGAAACTCTCCCTTGACTCCCAAGGAGTTAATAGTATTTACTGGTATTATTTGCACAAACCATATTGTAATTAAATCCAATTAAACAGCCATGCCAGTGGCAGCATATTTGAACTTTGCACCCTGGAGTACTCAGCCTGTCTCCCTGCAGGCTATGAGAATTATAATTCCAGAGCTGTAGGAACACAGGAATGAAGGAAATCTGATTCCTTGCCTGCTACCATGAGCAACCATGTCACATAATCCTTTTTGTGTATGCATAGAGCTGTACCTTAAATGAGTTTGGGTCTTGCCTCTAGAATTATAGAAGAACCACATAACTGATTGGTGAGCTGCAATTTAGAAGATTGTTTCTGAGATTATTTCTGGTCCAGGAGTCTATTTCTTCTTGTGTTGATGCAGTGATTTTGCTGCTGCTTCAATAATTACTCCTGAAAGCGAGTGGTCGAATCATGTGTGGTCCTCCAGAAGTATAATGCTCTTTTCTTTCATAAAGTGTGGATTATTTTGATGACTGTTTTCCTATTTTTTTTTTTTTGAGTTCATCCTTTTTAAAATGAATGAGCTGAACAACATTGAGAATTCAAGACGAAACTCTCAAACTTGTCTTATATAAATGTATTGAAGGAAATAATGTTTATTGGAGAGATTTTATTTTTGTATAAAGCATCATTTTTAAAGAGGTTCCTTTTCCTTTTTTTAACCATTTCTTTAGCAAAATGCTTTATTTTCATCCTTTCAGATTATCCAAATTCCCCCCATTTTTATCCAGAGATTGAACACAGCAGTGCTGCAGGCTAGTATGAGTAGTTCCATATAATTACTTTCTCATTCTCTTTCTGTTATAAGTTAACAAGTTAAAAATTCCCTATGTACACTGTTAATTTTTTGCTGCTTTTGTTTCTTTTGTTTTAGGAATGACTGAACATTAACTGGAAAAATTAGGCTGGGGTGATTTTTATGGTCCTTTTTTTGAAGATATGCACCGATTTCTCATCTAGGTGGGACATAGAATCATAGAATCATAGAATCACTAAGGTTGGAAAAGACCTAAAAGATCACCCAGTCCAACCGTTCACCTATTCCCAATAGCTCCTACTAAACCATGTCCCTCAACACAACATCCAGTCTTTCCTTGAACACCCCCAGGCTCGGTGATTCCACCACCTCCCTGGGCAGTCCATTCCAGTGCCTGACCACCCTTTCTGAAAAGTAATACTTCCTCATGTCCAGCCTGAATCTCCCCTGCCGTAGCTTGAAACCATTCCCCCTGGTCCTATCACTAATGACACGAGAGAAGAGGCCGACCCCCAGCTCACTACAACCTCCCTTCAGGAAGTTATAGAGAGCAATGAGGTCTCCCCTGAGCCTCCTCTTCTCCAGACTGAACATTCCCAGCTCCTTCAGCCTCTCCTCATATGACCTGTGTTCCAGACCCCTCACCAGCTTTGTTGCCCTCCTTTGAACACGTTGCAGGGCCTCAATATCTTTCTTGCAGTGAGGGGCCCAAAACTGGACACAGTACTCGAGGTGCGGCCTCACGAGTGCTGAATATAGGGGAACAATCACCTCTCTGCTCCTGCTTGCAACACTGTTTCTGATGCAAGCCAGGATGCCATTGGCCTTCTTGGCCACCTGGGCACACTGTCGGCTCATGTTCAGCCGAGCATCAATCAATACCCCCGGGTCCATTTCCTCTACACAGTCCTCCAGCCACACCGCCCCAAGCCTGTAGCGTCGCCTGGGGTTGTTGTGGCCGAAGTGCAGGACCCGGCATTTGGCCTTGTTGAAACTCATCCCATTGGCTCCAGCCCAGCTCTCCAGCCTGTCCAGATCCCTCTGTAGGGCCTCACTACCCCCAGGCAGATCCACACTTCCAGCCAATTTGGTGTCTGCGAATTTACTGAGGGTGCACTTGATGCCCTCATCCAGGTCATCAATAAAGATATTGAAGAGGACAGGCTCCAGCACCGACCCCTGGGGAACACCACTCACGACTGGTCGCCAGCTGGATTTGACTCCATTCACCACCACTCTCTGTGCCCGGCCCTCCAGCCAGCTCCTTACCCAGCCAAGAGTGTACCCATCCAAGCCTCTGGCTGCCAGCTTCTGCAGGAGAATGCTGTGGGAGACAGTGTCAAACGCTTTGCTGAAGTCTAGGTAGACCACATCAACAGCCTTTCCTTCATCCACCAGATGGGTCACTAGATCATAGAAGGAGATCAGGTTGGTCAAACAGGACCTGCCCTTCATGAACCCATGCTGGCTAGGCCTGATCCCCCGGTCACCCTGCACATGCCGCATGATCTCCCTCAAGACGATCTGCTCCATAACCTTCCCTGGCACCGAGGTCAGGCTGACAGGCCTGTAGTTCCCCGGATCCTCCTTACGACCTTTCTTATAAATGGGAGTCAGTGAGACAGTTTGCTGCAGGTATAGATAAACTGAATATTTGAGATATTCAAATCAATTATAACTTGAAAGACTTAGGATTGAAATGCTTGTTGGAATTTCCAGTTTTGTTCTGGATCTGTATGAGTAGGGAGCTGAGAGTGTAATAAGCACTGAAGGAGAGAACGTGAGGGGTTACTTGAGTTTAGCATTGTGACTGTGACATTAAGGGAACTCCCTCATGGTTTCTAGAAGTGTGATCAACAAATAAACTGTAGTGCAGGAAAACAACTTTGTTATTTTTAGGGCAGTAATGGGGTCAACACAGTATGATATCATTTTCACAAAGTGAAGTACGTGTATTACATACACGCCTACAGATGGTGCAGATATAAAACATAAATATGGGAGGAAAAACACTGCCTGGAGGCAGGTGACTTTGTAAGAGATATAAAAATAGAACGAAAAGGAACCTGAGGAGGTAGTGGGAAACATGCAAGGAACTGAGTAGAAGGGGATTGTGATGAAGGGTGGAAAATATATGTTGGGTAGAGGGGCAAAGCGAATGTCTCAAAACAAGAGTACTAATTATGGGAAAAACAGGAAAATGAAAATGAAAGGAAAATCAGTGTTGAAGAGGAAAATTATAAGAGCTAACAGTGAATTTCTGTGTTTTTTAGTAGGCATCTACAGGTAAGTTAGTCAAGTAAAAAATAGCGTATAGTAAGGAGTGACATTTTTTTCTCACAAAAGATATATAAGTCTCTGGACAAGTATTTGGAAGCAAATATATTATTCACAAACCAGAGAGGTTAAATAATTTGTAAGAGGATTCTGTTATAACTGAACAGCATTTTCATATGTTGGTAGTAACCATTTGCTATTTAATACAGTTTATAATTAATTGTATTCTTTTTTCTCCTTGATTTCCTATCAGTTTAAGATTTCAGTTTATTTCAGGCCTTGCCAACTTCGTTATCCACAAAAGCAGGCAATGTACTTGTGGATGTGGAATCTCTTTCGTGTTTTCTCCATAAGTGGCTATCGTATCTTTTGCAGAGTACAAAGCCAGCAGGAAAACGCACCCGGAGTTTTTATTTCTTTTCCAGACTGCCTGCCCAATTCAGTGTGGGCAAAAAGAGCTTACAGCTCTCTGTAGCCTTACTCTAAGCTGACACCCTGCTACTGTGAATGAAGTCTCTAGCAGTCGTAGCATCAGTGGGACCACTTGGATGAGTAAGTGTAACGATCTGTGTATGTATGTATTTCCAGGATCAGCTCCTATGCCGATAATGTAATGTGAAAGGCAAATTTGAAAAAGAAACTTCAGAACATTTGGCAATGTTATGTCAGCAAGTAAATACCAACCATCTGGTCTCTAGATTGCTAATCTTTTTCCCGTCATTCTACGGGTAGCATGCTTCCTGTGTCTGCATGCTTGAGACTGCATCATTAAACTTTTGAATTGCTCTTTTCTAGTGTTTTAACAAAAAACAAATACTTTGGCAATTTGGGGTGAAATATTGTTTGTATCCTAGTAGAAACATTTAATTCTCCTACAGGTTATTTTGTTTTAAAGCATATTTTTGAAGCACGTTTTAAATGAGAATGAACACTTTCTAGTATTCTTTTTGAGCAACAGCTGGTCATCTGCATTGAGCAACACCCAGTTATCTAGAGTTGGCTAATTATTACAAATTAGATTTTAGTTTGATCCCAGCTGA